ACTAGATTTGGTAAGACAAGTTTGCACAATGGCCAAAGGTTGGTTTGATACTTATGGCAAGAGAACAAGATTTTTATTACATTAGAATCCAGAGAGAAAATTGCAGGTACCAGTACAGAACTTTCAAGTAACTTTTCAAGAACTTAGGAATTACTAAAGAGGAAGGATGCCATTCAAAAAAGTTATTTTAGTTAATATAATAAGGAACAAGGGATCTGAGGAGGTGGGAGGAGGGAAAGAAGGAGGAAGAGGAGAAAACTGTCATTTCCTTAGAATTTTCCCACTGTGATTGTCATTTTTGAGGCATTTTTTGAAAGTCAAATAAGCAATTTTTGACACAGTTATCTGTGATTTTGAATACAGCTTGAAGGTCTTAAGTACAATTTAAAAAAATGCCTTTGTTCATAAAGGAAAGATTTACTGGGGAAACACTAAGTTGTCATTTACTCAAATTTATTTAGGCTCTTATTTGAAGGAATCTCAACCATTTCATTTCCTTAGGAAAGGAATCCACTCAAATGAAGATTTGCAATTTATCTCATATATATCTGTATTTAGTTTTTTTTGATTGATTTTTGTATTGTTACCATTCAAGATGGGCTTCTTATACTGAAAATAAATTGTCTAGAGGCTAATAATGCTTTAAGTTGGGTGTCAGTTCTAATTCATATCATGGAAGCTATTGTTATTTTCCCGTGTTTTAATTTTTTTTATTTAGTTTTGGTTGGGTAAGGGGTGGAGACACTGAAGGAGATGAAATTATATAATTAAACAAGGCTTGATCACTATATACTCTGCTAAGGCACTTAGACTTTATCCAAGAGCAGCTGGGAACCATGCAGAATATTAATGAGAGAAGGTCATGGAGTGAAGATTTGCTGTGATTGTGATTTGGACACTAAATTGGAGGAAAGGACAGATTTACAGAGAGAGATAATAATTTAGAAGACTTTTATAGTAATTCATTTGAAAGTTAATGGTGATCTGAAGGAGGTGGTAGATAATGGATATGCTGAAGAGCTCTTGACAGATGTAGCAATGATGTTCCTTGCACAGATGGTTCCTAGTGGTTCCTTGCACAGATGCTGAGAAGGAGATTGAAAAGTTGAAGATGTCTTCCATATTTCCCTTTTTTTGACAACTGAGTAGAAAGTGATATCATTCACTGAAGTGGAGAACCAGGAGAAAGAGGAGCAGGCATTTCATGGAGGAAGATGATGAGTTTGGTCTTGGATTTGTCACTCTTGGGAAAAGCCTAAGTCAGTTAGTGCTACCATAGTAAAATACTGTAGTCTGGCTGGCTTAAACAACAAATATTTGTTCCTCATAGTTCTGGAGGCTGGGAAATCGAAGATCAAGTTCTGGCAGACTCCATGTCTGACGAGGAGCTTCTTTCTGGTTGACAGACAGCTGCTTTTTACCCCACGTCCTTGGATGGAGGACAAGCAGGGGGTGAGAGGGAAACCACTGGTCTCTTTCTCTACTTATAAGGGCACTAATCTCATCATAGGGCCTTCATCCTTGTGACGTCATCTAAACCTAATTACCTCCCAAAGGCCTCACCTTCAAATACCATCACATTGGGGTTTAAGGCTTCAACATGGGAATTTGGGGGTTGGAGGACACAAATATTGGGTCCACAACACAGAGCCCATGGAATAGCATTTGAATACCAACACTAGGTGGTTGGATCTTGGGACAGGAGCACCAGGATTGAAATGAGTTTGAGATATAGATTTTGGACCTTTGTGTACAATGGTTATACATGCAGCTGGGAGTGTGTGTGTGATCCCCTACGGAGAGTATTGGAATAAGAAGAGAGTAGGTCTGTGGTTAGAAATCTGGGGAATAGTGACATTTAAGAAGTAGGCGGGAGAAGAAGATCCTCTGAAAGAAAGCAAAAAGTAGTTAGAGGAAAAGAGGGGCAGCAGGAAAGTGTTGTCAGAAAGGCAAGATATGAGGCATTTCAAGGGAGAGGAGGTGGGCTGTAGTGTCAGTTCCTTGAGTTCAATTAAGTGAGGGCTAAGAAGCGTAGATGGGATTCAGCAACATGAAAATCAGTGATGTTCATGGTAACTACCCCTTCTGTGGAATAGTGGGCATAGAAATGAATGAGGGGAGGAAGTAGAAAGAAATGGTGAATATAAATTGTTTCATCCTTTCTAAAATAATTACAGGAATTTACATGAACATACCTTAGCCTAACATAGTTTTTTTTTAAATTGAGGTGAAATTCACATAAGATTATCCATTTTTTAAGTGAACAATTCAGTGGTATTTAGTACACTCACAATGTTGTGCAACCACCTTATCTGTCTAGTTCCAAAACATTTTCATCACACCCAAAGGCAAACCCATATCCACTAATCTGTGTTCTGTCTCTATAGATATACCTGGATGATTTCATATAAATGAAATCATACAGTATGTGATGTTTTGTGTTTAGCTTATTTCACTTTGCATAATGTTCTCCAGGTTCATCCACATCATAGAGTGTATCAGCACTTCATTTGTTTTTATGGCTGAATAATATTCCATTGTATGGATATACCACCATTTGTTTATCTGTTCCTCTGTTGATGGGCATTTGAACTATTTCCACCTTTTGGCTGTTGTGAATAATGCTGCTGTGAATACACAAGTACCTATATTTATTTGAGTACCTGTTTTCATTTCTTTTGAATATCTATCTAAGAGTGGAATTGCTGGAGCTAATCTAGTTTTTCAAAACTATACTTTTGTATAGTGTAAACTGAAAATCCACAAGAAACATTATAATCAATATATATAATATATTGATTACATATACAATATAATCAATCCTGGTGCTCCTGTCCCAAGATCCAACCACCTAGTGTTGGTATTCAATCGCTATTCCATGGGCTCTTCATTTACACTGTCTTTATTCAACATATATGGTTTCTATAATATTATAGAAAAAGTTGACTTACCCAGTCTCTGTCCTTCAAGTACTTTATATGCTCTTTAAGTTAGGATAGTGAAACCACTATCCAGTAATTAAGCAGCCCATCAGAAAATAGATGAGTTAAATGAAAAAATAGGTAATTTTTAAGGAAGGAAGTGCTCTTTAGAATTGAGTTTGGAGTCTTCTAAAAAGAAAGCACTTCAAGTGAAGAGTTTAAGTTGACTCATGTAGGACAAGCCTAGGGTTGGATGTTTCACAGCTTAGTTATTTTTTTGAAGAAAGAGTACAAGTTGCACTCTAGTTGGCAATCAGGGAAGAAACACAGAGTGCAGAAGTGAACTAAGAGCGCCCATGGCACTAATTTAATAGCTAGTGGAATTTCAAAATTAAGATTGTATTTTCAAAATCAATTTTTACTCATCCTCCAATAACCACTGACACATTTAGGTTTAATCTTGTGAATTGTATTTCTTCACTCAGAGACACTGGTGTAGATGGAAGATTTCAGTTCTATCTGTGACAAACGATCTAGCCTCCTTATGGTTCAGTTAAATTTTATCCATAAACTAGAGGTTAAGAAATTTTTAGAGAAGTGGAACAATGATTACGTTTTCTATAAAATTTTTGGTGTTTTAAAATGGCATTCATGCTATATCCTTAAAGGTGTCATTTTCTTCTGCAATCTTTCCTTTGTAGAAAGAACTCTTAGGGATTGATTATAGAACTGAGATTTTCCAAGACATGGCTCTATGATTTAATTCCCAAAGAACTGCCTAAAGACTTTGGAGAGGAAATAATATTTGTTGAGTATCTGTTAAGTGTTTTATTTATCTGAGCTCAGTTAAGTCTTATAACAACCAGTAAGTGGTAGATCCATGATATGAACCTTGATTTGCTAACTCCAAAGCCAGGCCACTGTTTACCATACAATAGCATGCTAATTAGGTTCCATCTCACATGCTTGTGGCTTGCTAGAGAAGCAGGATGAGAAAGGTGCCTATGGGCTCAGCAGGAAGCAGAGCTCTGATAGGTTGGCTCTCATGTTTTCTAGGAAGACAAGAAGGGGATGGGCAGGCTCTACTGGTGCATACACTGGCTGTCCCTAAGTTGTGTCATGCTACTTCTCAGGGGAAGATTCTGGATGATTTATCAGAAGAATATTAATTTCTCTTATAAAATGTATATCTGGGATAAAGTCTGATGCTGATTCAGAGAGGTACCTTTGACCCTCCTTCATTTCATTTACACTGCCTTTATTCAACATATATGGTCTCGATAAATAAACTGCTGGGGCTGACATGTTTACTCATATTTGCGGTATGCATTTGTTTCAGGCAGAGAAAGCTGATGGATTTGTCAACCTCCCTGATTTCACTGTAGAGAAAGCATCTGAATGCAAGAAAAAGCAGTAAGTTGTCTATCATTTTCCACAAAACTCTGGGCCAGGATAATGTCCCTTTATAATGCTTCTCAAGTGATGTGGTGATTTGGAAGTTAATGATGAATTCTCAGATGCCTGAGAATTTTGACTTTATGTGTTGGTACCCCAAACAGTAACAGAAGCTTTTAACCTCTTGTTTTATGGAATTTCATTCTGTGGAGCAGATGGATTTTAAAACCCCACCGAGCCCTGGCAGGGCATGCCATTAATGACAGTGTCTGTGATCCAGTGAAAAACAAACTGCCCTCCAGGACTGGCAGGGTGATCAGATGTCCAGGTTTTGTCCTTGTAGAGAGAATGACTAGTCAAATAGAATTCACCAGGGCTGCAGATATGATACAAGACCAGTTTCTTATTTTTAGTTCACGGAATTGTCAGTTGCACCCTTGAAATTGAATTCTCTGGGATATCTTAGACTTGGGGATTACAGCCTGATATAATTTAAGCCCAAAATGTATGAGAACCAACAGGAGTCAAAAGGGTCACCAGCCCACGTGGCCCTAGACCAGCTACCCAGACTCCCAGTCAAGTGCTCTTCCCATGATGGTGTCCAGCTGCGTTTTGCACAGGTGTCCTCTTCCTCTCTTACTTATTCTTTACTCTGCTTTTGACATCTTTTTCTGTTTTATTAGAAAGGGGCAATTCCCTATTGACCTATGTTCCTAGTAGCAGCAATTGTTTAGTTTTTTTCTAAAGAAAATGAATAAACTGGTGTTAGTTTTAAGTCTCTGCCATTCTGCTGTAGTTACGCATAGCCAGTGACACGTGAGGCCATGCTGATTTTTGTGGTTTTGACCGAACTGGTAATTTACAAAATATTCTGGCCTGTTCTGCAAGACTTCCTGTCTAAATGGTAAAGGAGAAATACTTTGTTATAGTCAATGTTTTATACTTTTCTTTTAAACTAAAAATCTGCCTTATATTTTTCCTTTACTAATAGAAGGTGGCTTGGATAAGGTTTTTGATGTGTCATCATGATATAGGCGTTTTTAAAAACCTTTTTTTATTTCTTATTAAACAATTTTCTATTGAAATGTAGTTGATTTACATTAGTTTCAGATGTACAGTAAAGTGATTCAGTTATACATATATATACATGTATATATTTTCAGATTCTTTTCCATTACAGCTCATTACAAAAAATTGAATATAGTTCCCTGTGCTATATAGTAGATCCTTGTTGTTTATTTATTTTATATATAGTAGTGTGTGCCTGTTAATCCCCACCCCCTAATTTATCCTTCTCTACCCTTTCCCCTAGAAGTTTTATACTTATTTTTGTGTAAATACAATTATTGTATATACATAATTTGCATAAATACTTTGCTTGAAGGAATTGATCAGAGTATTTCGAAGTGACACATCTATCACTTTAAATTTTAATTTACCATCTTCTTATAGCAAAAAAGTTAGCAAACGAAAATAAAAGATTATACCCATATGTTTCAAATTGAAAAATTTTTTATGTTGCAAATATCTTCTCTAAGTCTGTGGCCTGCCAATTTATTTTTTTTTCTAGTTTTATTTTTTATTGAAGTGTAGTTGATTTGGAATGTTAGTTTCAGGTGTACAGCAAAGTGATTCAATTATACATATACAGACATATATATTTTTTCTTTTCAGCTTCTTTTCCATTATATGTTATTACAAGAAATTGAATACAGTTTTCTGTGCTATATAGTAGGTCCTTGTTGTTAATCTATTAGGTAGAAACTATTGATCAGCCAAGACTCAGTCCTGTTCTGGATGTCGTGACAGGATAAATTAACCCTCTGCTCTCTGTATGAAATAGAAATTAGACAATAGGTATTTAATGTAATTGAATTTTTTCGGGTACATTAACAAAGAGAACAGATGAACTTACCATGCTTATATTTGACTGTTTTACTTTCAAACCCACTGTCGACTACACTAATTTCTAATTTTCATGTGTCTATGCTTTTCCTCTTTCAAGTGCTTTCAAGATCAGCCATCCACAGATCAAGACCTTTTATTTCGCAGCTGAGAATGTACAGGAAATGAATCTGTAAGTAAAGAAAAATCACTAAACTTCTATCTTTATGTACATAGATGGCTTTGATCAGGTGTTCGAATTATAACCATGTGTTCATATCAATTGTTGTTTAATTGATTTCTGCTGCTTTAAGGATTGCTCTCCTTAGCAGTTATAAAGTCTTCTTGCTTTTTTTTTTTTCTAGTATTTGAAAGCATTTTGGAGAACTACACATATGAAAGTGGCTATTTTAGGAAGAAACAATAAGATTCCTCTGAAGGAACCACTAAGTTAAGAAAGGAATAGACAGATGACATGATAAGAAAATGTTAAGATGAGAATCAGCATCACAGGGAAAAAGGCTTGAAAGAATTATGTTACTAATCTCACAGCTTTCAAAATTCTATATGAAAAATATCTCTACAGCACTTCCCATGTGCTGTGTGATTATCATGATGATTCACGTGTTTATCACCACTCCATGTTCTATCCCAAACATTTTGCAAAGCATCTTTGTTTCGAGCACATCTAAGATACTCCTAACTCCACTTCCTGTTTGCTCTGTTTAAATAAGGGAAACATATGGGCAGAGTATTACCTGCATTTCCTGTAACATCCCCTGCTGGCTTAGATCACAGTGTGGTTGTGATGGTTATTACCTGAGTGAGGCTATGTATAGA